ATGGGTGCAAACATAATTTTGGCCTTCACTAGGTAATGGTTGGATCTACATTCTGGGCCTCTGTGTGCCCTGACGTCTATTACTTTACCCGTTTAATACTGTCTAGTGATTACGTAATCGATCACTGATCTCCTTCCTCTTACCTTATCTTCCCAAGTGATCATATGCTCCCTAGGTGAAGAAATGAAGTTTTTCGAAAACTCAAAAATGTTCTGTCAAAAAGAGCTTCAAATTTCGAATTTACACTAGGGCGTAAAATCTATTTTCTTAAAAATTGCTGCAAATGTTTCAAAGAAAATTGCATTTTAGGACGATGTTTTACTGTTCTTCAATGTTCATAAAATAGTATTTCCATTCTATTTAGGAAACCGAAAAATTAGCTTACAGGGCAAGTTCATATAGCTATACGACACCAAAAGAAAAAATAGAAAACTAATACGGGAAAGTCTCTCATTCTGTGTCATCACTAGTTAAAAATGTTTTTGTACTGTTGTTATCAAATAGCGTGCGGGCGAGCTGTATCCTGAATCCAATACTGTATCAAACATAGAAATCGGATAAAGACACATGGTAAAGTGAAATGGGGGAAAACAAAGATCTTCAGAAACGTCAGAATTATCACTGGCGAAACTGCTCGACGACCTCGTGTCACATGTACCACGTGCTAGGCTCACACCGCGAACCGTGATTAGTAAACCTGTCATATTGCGTATTGTTTATAGAGCTATAGCGTGCTAGTACGCTTAGACATACTAAAGCAGGCTAAGATTGATATGAGCACAGGATAGACTGCCTTCTATTGTCTGTCAAACGTTTTCCCGTGCTTTCTGTCTTTACAGATTTCATTAAGGAAAAAAAATCTCAATCTTCAATATTGTGATTATAAGAAGAAGCCGGAACAAATGTGAACTTACGCAACTTTCGAAAAATCAGGGATTTCAACGAAAATGAGACCTTCAGCATTCTGTTAAGTGTTGCTGATGTACAAATTTTAATTAAAAAAAAAAAATGGGGCCACTTTTGAGAAAATTTTGAAAATGTTGAGGCTTTATTTAAGTACTCTCAAAAATCATAATATCAGTTTTAAACTCAAGGGGGCCTTGATTTCATTTAAACTAATTAGGGAATATCAATTTTGGAGAAAATCGGCTAAACGGTTTAGGCGCCACACTTGATGGAAAGATACGAGCTATTACGCTAGCGGCAGATCCAGACGATCATTTGAGGGGAGGGGATAATATATTTTTGTTAAATAATAAACATATTTGTATTATATTGTACAAATATGAAGTGTATATACGATATCATACAATATTATTTTTTGAATAATTACATAATTCTAATATATATATACATATATATATATATATATATATATATATATA